TTCCCCACAGCCTTGTACAGCTGCTCTACACACTGCTGAATGGCTGTCACTAACCCAGTGCCCGGAACACATTTCTTCATTCAACAAGTATGTACTTAGTGGCTTTCATGGGCAAGCATTAGAAATGTAGATTAATACACACTGGAAATCAGCAATGTATTGTGTTAGAAAGTGATAAGTACTACAGAGAAAAGTAAAACAGGAAAATTGATAGAGAGGAATGAGTGGGTGCAGGGCTACAGTATAAATTAGGAGAGTCAGGGGAGGCCTCACTGAGAGGGGCCGTGTGGACAGAGACTTGAAGGGTGCGAGAATGAGCAATGGGGATTTGCAAAAAGAAAATGCCAGGTGGAAGTTCAGTGCCATGACCCTAAGGTGGGAGTGTGCCTCAGCGTTCAAGGAATCGCCAGCAGCCAGTGTCACTGGAGATGAGTGAGTCCAGGGGAAAGCAGAAAATGGGAATTGCAGAAGCCAGGAGAAACCGCTGGGCCTCTGCCAGGACTTGGCCTCTGCTCTGAGGGAGAGGAGAAGTACTGGAGAGTTCTGAGTGCGGGAGAACACAGTCTGATTTATGTTCTAACCAGATGCCTCTGGCTACTGAGTTGAGAATCCTATATAGGATGTAAGGGGCCAAGAGTGAAAGCCCAATGCCATCTAGGCCAGGTGAAAGGTGATGGTGTTCTGGGTCAGAGTAGGAGTAGGACAATTGCTGAAAAGCGCTCAGAGTCTGCGTGTAATTTTAACATAGAACTGAGAGGATTTGCTGACATATTGATTGTGGGATGTGAGAGAAAAAGAGGAGTCAAGAATTACTCCAAAATAGATCTTCAATAAGATTTTGATGAACTAATGAATGGATGAACGAATGAACAACCTACAGCTATTAAACAGCAGGATCAAGATTTGAAACAAGGTTAGTAAAATGTCAAAATACTCTTTGTCATTCTTATCCTTTTAGAATCTGACAAAGAAAGCCTTTCCTTAGAAAAGTGCACGTATGTACATACGTGCCAAATTTGCACAGCATCTTGGGAGGCTCAAGGACCTCTTCAAATCCATCCAGGAATCGTCTGTGTTAAGACAGCCTGCACTTCATCATACCATCTACCGAACATAAAACTTGATTTTCAGAAATGCAGTTTGTATAAAACTTTTGCAAAAGCATCTCTTGCATAAAGGTCTTATAAAATGGTCTTACTTCAATCTTACAAAATGAATGAATGTAATAGGAAAAAGAAACAAATTGTATTTCTGTCATCTATGTTTAAAAATAATCACTACGTTACATGTATTGGAATAGAACAATAATTTCTAATTCAGTATTATAAAAAGTAGTAATTAAGGTTAACACATTATTCTTGATATTTTTAAAGCCTAAAGAAAACTGTACATTTCCTTGCAGTGAGATCACAAAAGTTAAAGCATCATCTCTCTACTTGTGGCTGGAATTATAAGAACTCAGTCCAGTAATACTAGTTTTCTCATACTGGTAGAAGTTTTAACTAATGGAGTTAGATGTCCTTATTTAATAACAAATGAGAAATAAAAATTAAATGTGGTTTGGTCAGTAAAATGTTCCATGGGGGAAGAATAATAAAGAATATTTCTAGAAGGAGTGCTATTTTGAGCAAAGCATAATAGAAGACTGAATACTGCAGTGTTTTATGAGCCACATAAACAACAAATATAATTTATTACATAATAATAAGATAATTCAGTGTAGTCTTCACCTTAAAGTAAATCTAAAAAGCAATCCAAGAGTTGCCCTCACATTGTTACAGATTATCTGTTTAGTCTACGTAATCCTCATGTGTATATATAAACAACATCTTTGTACCATCTATGTTTAAATTATATTTTTAAGCCCTCTAAGGCTTTGAGGGAATGAGGTTGTTTTATATTTTGCCTTTTATAATTTAAACACTTTTACGTAAATTCCAAGGGCTGTTTTCCAAGGTGGGACACTGCCACAGCCATAAAACTATTTCAAGCCACTGGGGATCACAAAGTTAAAACTCTAGGGACTAACACTGGGGAGCTTTGCTCACAAGCTTCATGAGCACCCTGAAGATCTGTCTAAGGCAAAAAGAAGAAGAAGAAAGACAGAAAGATGAAGGAAGGAAGGAAGGAAGGAAGGAAGGAAGGAAGGAAGGAAGGAAGGAAGGAAGGAAGGAAGGAAGGAAGGAAGGAAGGAAGGAAATAGAGAAAAATATTCAAAATCAATCTCTCTGTGTGTTAGTACCCCACATCTGGGTACAAAACTCTGGTCCTGGGCTTGTGCTGCTTGATCCTGTAGCAGTCTACATTTTGTTGCCCTATACCCTTGGAGAGTTGAGAAAAATGCCTGTCATGTTTCAAACTGATTTCAGATGATGAGGGGACTGTGAAAAGGGGAGTCAATAGAATTTCCACTTGCTAAGATACAGGCACCAACAGGATGACCACAAAACAACAACACTCGAGCCTTAATTGGGACTTTTGGTTTTTATGGTCTTACAACAGAGTCAAAATTATATTTAAATTTTCCATGGCTCATTTTTATGAGTGAAATATGAGCATTTACCCAGCGAAAGAAAGAAGTAGGCAGACATCGGACACGTTTTAAAAAATCTATAAAATTCCATGGCCCCAGAAGCAAAAATCATTTTCAATTAAATTAATACCAAAATTAGTTATAGATATGAACTTTGGTATGTGGTAGTTGTTGTAAAATGAGAAACTACATTATAGAAATGGTGATAATACACTTCTCATACTCTGCATATTCATCTATAAGTCAGAATGTATTTCTGTTTGGAGTATTGGTGTTAACATGCTTTCTTAGCAGAAGAGTAGAACAGCCCTTATGGTGTATGTTATGAATGCATATTAACAGCACAGGCATTTGCATATCTAGAACTATAGTAGAAAATGCATAACAAAATTTCTTTTGAAACATTATTGTACAAACATACTTAATTCTTGCTAAATCTTGACATAACAACTTTTTATTCCCCCCCTTTTTTTGAAAAAAACGAAAAGCTAAAGCATCCAAACAATAGATTAGCAGTCAGAAAACCTGAACACTAATTCTGTTCTTCCACCCCATCAGCACCAAAGGTTTTTCTTTCATGTTCAAAGGCAGGAATAGCACAGCCTCAAATGTTTTTATCAATAAATTGTTTCTCACTTTTCTGCAAATGCCAAGATAAAATATAAAATCCACCCTTTCAATGAAGTACATTCATGATAATTTTCTATTGGCGTATCATGTCATCTATTCCTTGGATTTTGATTTTCATGTTTGTGATGACTTTAATACAATGCAGCTTTTGGAGACTTTGCAAGTTTAGAATATGGTGCAATATACAAAATTCAAGACAGCACTGGCTGCTTTTTGGCTCATGACTCTGATACTTATGCTCCTTTACATTTAAAAATTAAACCATATGTGAGACCAACAAAATTCTGCAACTAGCCTTCCTATAGAAACTCACTATGCTAATATAAAAACTGTGTGTACTTCTTGAATTAAAAGCCATATGAAACATACTCAATGCACCCATTACCAAGTGATATATTCTTAAACAACAAATTTTAGAGTGACTATGGTATATCTGGTTTTTTGAAAAACAAGAGGTAGGCCAGCCTACCTATTTTAACTTAGGAGTTTATAGTCTGACTCTTATTTTAATTTGCATTTTTTACTGGGCCATTAAGAGAGAAAAATGATCTGCTTTTACATATTTTCTACTTTTTGCCGACTTCCCCATCTTTTCTAGAACTGTCCAGGAAAAGTCGAGCAACTTTTTGAAGAAGGTGGAAATTAGTTGGGTATGACAGGAGCAAAATTGAATTTAGTGTGAGGCCCTTGGTGCCAATTTGGATCCGAAGTGCATTAAAGCAGCAGAATTCTAAACCCTTCAAAACTGGGATTTATAAGGGGAATGCTAACACAGATTCAACAGTTACAGCTCTGCCAGGGATTACTTTAATACCAAAAGCATACTCTCTCACTTTATAGAAAGAGATTACTCAGTTGTCAAACAACAAAGGTTGTGTTTATTTGTTTATTTTAAAACTTTTATTTATTTATTTATTTGTAAGCTCACTTTTTACTTTACTGGCAGGCAATCCTGAAATCAAATGTCCTTTATAGGGGTGGGGGCACGGGAGAAGAGAAAAGGGGAGGAAGGTGGAGTTTGTCTCTGGCCCCACAGTTCGTTTTATCTATAAGGCTTTGCCAGCTTTGCTTAACTGTTTCCACCCTGCTTTTGTTAAAAAGAAATCAAAAGTGTGGAGTGGGGAAAAAAATAAATCTGAAATACACTTGATCGGGAAAAACAACTGGACACTGATAAAAGAACAAGAAGATATTTAAATTGATGTTAGTCTAGAGAAAAATGCGAGGACAAGATTTTTAAGAGAAAGAAAAAAATCTGAAAGTTAAAAAAAAAAGAAACAAAAACAGGAAAGCTAATCTTTGATTAAAATACTCAGCAGAATGTCAGAGAGAGGAAGACAAAAACCTAAGTGATAAATTTTATGTTTATTGTGTCTGAAATGAAATGAGAAGGAACAAGCAAGTTAATGCTGGGAAGAGATAAGGGACAATAAAAGAGTGAAGTTAGTGACTTTCCGCAGAGGACAAAGTATGTAGTTTGAAATCCTTAACAATGGACTTGCAGTGTCTCTGCAAAAGTTGGTGAAAGATACCAGCAAGTGTAGGAAGGGGAGTATCTGAGGATGTCTTTCACAGACCCCAGATGGAGAAGCTGTTCTTTTATTCCAAATCCCTAAGAAGCACAGAAGTCTTACATGTTAATAAGAGAACACACAGACACACACTCATAAGTTACATGCTGTGAAACAAAACAAGAAAATGAAACCTTTGTTGACCCCTGTTCACTTACACGAATCTTAGTTTGGTTAAACATCTTAAGACCAGTTTCCAGCTCCTTTTCATGGCTTTCTTTCCCTGGGTACCCAGGTGCACAAATGGGATGGTGATCTTTACAAAACAACATCATCAACAACAACAAAAACCTCTTGCTCACACAAAAGCCCACCTTGTAAATGAATGGAATATTAACGACCACCTAATACTTGCACCGTTGGCAGGGCGAAACTGAACACTAACACAGCTATTTCTACAGATTGCCAGTGAAACCGAAGCAGCTCGAGGAGAAATGCACCTACTGTACGTGAAATGCTGGTGCAGATTTTTTCCTATCAGTCTAACCTTCTGTGTTGATGCATGAATGCTGGTACCCACTTACAGGGATGCCAGATGATCAGTGCAGAATGAAGGTCCCAAGAGAGAGGATCACATGGCTCTCTCTGCCCTGTGACGTCACTAGCAGATGGCATGGGTACCAGCTCTGGCAGTTGGCATCAATGTCACTTTTTAGAGATCAATGAGATAGTGCAGATATACACAGATCTAGAGACTCCAGGAGACGATGCGACACTCAGCCTGAAAAGATTTGGAAGACCCAAAATGAAAACTGATTATTGAATGAAATTAAAACCTAAGGTAATATAAATAAAGATATACTTCAATTGATGCTGGCTTTGCATGCAAGTATTTAAAGATACAGTGTCACTGTCTTATAGTATTTATATGCTCTTTGCCATCTATAACTTCTTATCATATTTCATTCTTATGATGTAATTATCACATACTTTCACTGCTATTATGTAACACTGCAAGTATGTGGACATTACTAAGAGTTTGTGTATGTGTTCGTGTGTATATGTGTGTGTTGAGGGGGCTGGAGATTGTTAAACTGAAAAGTCTCTGCTTTAATGTGCCTATTTGTTTGAAGACTTTAGATGAAAATACTTGCTGCTTCACCAAACAAAAACCAAAATGCATTTGAAACACAAATTATTTTCCCCTTTCATTTGGGATTCTGAACACACGTGCACAATTGCAGTCAGAATCCTTGGACCGTTCCTGTCAGATATTAGCTAGAGGGAGACTTGTATGGCTCGTAGAACAAAAACACTACGAGAGTGGTTTTTGTCCAGGATGATTTGAACAGCAGTAATCAGACAATTCTATTCGGAAAAAATTTAAATGTAAATAAAATCAGTCTCAATATTTTTTTTAATTAAAAGAAATTGCCAGTGATTTTTATGCTTTAAATTTATTTATAGAGTTTATTCCAAATTAGCCTAATCCCCTTTTCTTTTTGAAGCCTGGGAAAATAGTGCTGTTTTACATAATTCTTTACTGATCAGAAAAAATCAGTTTAAAAATTGACTCTGATTATAATCTTTTCTTTAAATTTGTATATTCCCACACCCACTTATCTAAATTCACAGTTGTGTGATACAGCAAATAAAGTTAAGGTTTTGTTTGTTTGTTTGTCTGTTTTTAAAAAGGAACACAAATTTGTTAGCTAATGGAGAGATAGTACTTTCCATTTTAAAAACTGGTTTATCTTCTCATTTTGTGCTCAGGGGAATTGGAATTAATGAAATTCTGCATTGAAATTTCATATTTTGCATTTGTTTGAATTCCACAATCTTTTTTGGGGGGTACTAAAATCCAGTTTAAAGGCAAAGAGAAATGGAGATGGTGGTGATCACAATAATTATATGTTTCATTTTTATTTTCTTTTGATAATTTGCTCATATAAATTAATCCTATTGAATGCATCAATGTCTTCATAATTACTTACCTTCACAAACTCAAAATTATATTTAATGTTAAAAAATCAGCCCAGAATCAATCTTTTCCACGTGTTTTTGTAGTCTTATGATTAAATAATTAAATATGTTTTAAGTGTATAAACTTTAAAAGTGAAAACTCTTTAAATATTGTGCTGGCATTTTTTCAGGTAATTTAAGATTAGAGAACCATGTTAACACTACCGTTTGATGAGTCTGTTGTAATGCCAGAATCCCAGATGTGCAGAAAGTTTTCTAGAGAATGCGAGGACCAGAAGCAAATTAAGAAACCAGAAAGCTTTTCCAAACAGATTGTCCTTCGAGGAAAAAGCATCAAAAGGGCCCCTGGAGAAGAAACCGAGAAAGAAGAAGAGGAGGAAGACAGGGAAGAAGAAGACGAAAATGGGTTGCCTAGAAGGAGGGGTCTCAGGAAAAAAAAGACAACCAAGCTGCGATTGGAAAGGGTCAAGTTCAGGAGACAGGAAGCGAACGCGCGCGAGAGGAACAGGATGCATGGCCTCAACGACGCTCTGGACAACTTAAGAAAAGTGGTCCCCTGCTATTCTAAAACCCAGAAACTGTCCAAAATAGAGACTTTACGACTGGCCAAAAACTACATCTGGGCACTTTCTGAAATTCTGAGAATCGGCAAGAGACCAGATCTGCTCACATTCGTCCAAAACTTATGCAAAGGTCTTTCCCAGCCAACTACAAACTTGGTGGCAGGCTGCTTGCAGCTCAACGCCAGGAGTTTCCTGATGGGTCAGGGTGGGGAGGCTGCGCACCACACAAGGTCACCCTACTCTACCTTCTACCCACCCTACCACAGCCCTGAGCTCACCACTCCCCCAGGGCATGGGACTCTTGATAATTCCAAGTCCATGAAACCCTACAATTATTGCAGTGCGTATGAATCCTTCTATGAAAGTACTTCCCCTGAGTGTGCCAGCCCCCAGTTTGAAGGTCCCTTAAGTCCTCCCCCAATTAACTATAATGGGATATTTTCCCTGAAGCAAGAAGAAACCTTGGACTATGGCAAAAATTACAATTACGGCATGCATTACTGTGCAGTGCCACCCAGGGGTCCCCTTGGGCAGGGTGCCATGTTCAGGTTGCCCACCGACAGCCACTTCCCTTACGACTTACATCTGCGCAGCCAATCTCTCACCATGCAAGATGAATTAAATGCAGTTTTTCATAATTAATGAGGAAAATGAAAATAAACAGTGGTCATTCACCTTCCCCGTCTAATTAAGACAAAGCAGATGCTTGTGGGCTGAGTAATTGGCACAACTCTATCTAAGGTGTTTACTAGTTTCTGAAGTGTGTTTCAACTATTGTGAGAATTTTCTATGTAATAATAAATCTCTTTTCGTATGAGAACTTCTTTTCCTTTCCTTTTGTCTGTAAAGCACTGTGATTCTGTTTCTACTGGAAAGATTTTTTCCTTTTTAATTTTATTTTAAACTTACTTAATTTGTTTGAACAAGGTGTCTAAGAATATACTGTTGAATAAAGACATGCACACAGCATAATTCAATGTCTATTTTGGTTGTACAGTAATTATAAAATGCATGTTATGAAAATCAGATGAATAAAATGATGTGTTTATAATTATTAGGAATTATATATTATGTATCTTTTAAAAATTGAAATTTTAAAATATTGAGAATATCACTAAGCTGACAATGATATTGGGAGATGCATTTGCAACAATATAAAAAGCTATGCAATTTTCTTTTTATTAAGGATGAATCTAAATGAATTCAATTGGTAACTATTCCTCTTTAAGTATTTGCAGATGTGGCAACATGATATTTGGGTAGCCGATGTCATAATTTGGGGACAATTATCTCAATCATCAAGAAAAAATTTCAGCACTTGTTTTGTATTATTCAGAAATTAACTGTACAGGTTTGTTATCACAATGTATAATTGTGTTTTTCCAACCCACATTTTTAAGGCAATTAAACATAGATATTTCCACTCGTAAAGGACATCTATTAGCTGTGATATTTTTGCATGCTACTTATTATTTCCTGGTACACAGCTGCTTTCTGTCTCCAATACTCCCCACTCCTCATTTCAGAAATATTTCTGGATTACAAAACCGTAGGAGCTAAAACAAATTTCTTAAACAAAATGGCCAAAGCGCTTACAAGAATTGTTTTTTTCAAGTGTCTTAAATGAAAGAAGAGAAGCCCATGAGGGTTAAACATCCTGGGGAAACAATGATAAATCCTGGTAACCTTCAGCTCGAGCCTAAAATCGGTGGCAAATTTCCAGCAAACACCAGAGTGGATGTTAAAAATGGAAGGTTTTACTCTGCGCCGTTTAAATGTCTGGCCGATCAGAGGCTAAATTCTGTGTGATTAAAAGTTTCCTTATAGAAGGCCACCAAAAACTTACTTTTAATAGCGCCTGGGGAGCTAAACCTCTTAAACAGGATTGAGCCTCTTCTACAATCGTGGGCGGGGTGGCAATGACCTTGCCAAGATGCCCTCTGGTGCAGTTTTGCCTCAGGGGGAGGAGCGGGGACAGCTGCGCAGACCGATGAGGGCAGGAGAAAGTGGGTACAGTGGTGGCGGGACGGGGCAGGTCTTGGGTGGGCCTGGCCAACGCTGCCCCTCGGGGGCCATGTCTGTAACGCCAGAGCCGGCGCAGGCCCGGCAGGGCCTGGCGGGCGGCGCGGGGAGAGGTTGCTGGCGGCGTCGCGTCCCTCGGTGGCCGCCCTGGCACAGGCTGCAAGCCCGTGTCCCGCCCGCAGTGGGCGCCCTGGGGGCTGGGGGCGGGACACGGGCTTGCAGCGAACCCGGGCCGCGGCGCCCACACTGACCTGGCCTGCCCAGGAAAGGGGCCGGGTGGCATGGAGAGCGGCGAGCGCACCGCAGCGCGCGGGCCTGGAGACTGCCCCGCACTCGCTCAGAGAGGGAGAAAGGGGGTCGCCCCTTCACCCGCCCCTTGTGCCACAAGGAGGAACGCGGCGCAGGCGGCGATAGCTCCAGCTCTCTCTTGCCCAAGTGCAGCCGAGAGCTGACCCTGCCCTGCCCCTCCTACGGCTGGCGGGACTTCCTGAGCCGAGGCTGCGAGGCCCGCGCCCCATTCTGCAGAGGACGGCGTCGCCCTCTCCCTCTACGCCTCCAGCTTTACGATCCTGGGCCTTTGGTGCGCCTGGCAGCCGCCACCGAGGGGCAAAGGTGCCGAGCAGCTGCTGGCGCGGGTGCTGAACGCGCCCTTCTAAGCTGGTGTGTTAGCACCTGTTCATTCAAACCCCAGAGGGCTTAGGGAAAAGCCAGAGAGAGAGGAGGAACTGTGCCCCCCGCCCCAGGTAGAGAGAAGTTTGCCCAAACTAGACAACCGTCTGTCCCCTCTGCCTGTCTCTCTGCACCGGAGTGACTCGCGCTTGCTTCCTCCCATATGCGCAGAAAACCTGCTTTCCCTGGCACTGTGTCCGGGACTCCCAGGCCTCTTTAAGGACCCTCAGACACTAAAAGCCCGACCATTGCTCACCCTGTCTGAGCAAGCAGCAAGAAAGTGAAGAAGCATCTGGAAATGGAAGAATCTGGCCTTTTTGGTTTATTTTTTTAAGTGGTCCTGTTAAATCACTAGCAGAATAGGTGTGGCTTCCCCCACCCCCTGGGCCCCATTTTTCTCCCCTGATTCTTGCTCCAAGGTGACCGGCTGCCCAGCTGAGAACAGCCTCGCGCCTGCTCAGAACCTTGGTTCAGACAGCTTTTGAAACCCGCACAGTCTTTCCGGGATCACAAATTCACGTTGGAACGAGAGATTGCAACAGGAGATGTATCCTCCCGCCCCTCTCTGGCAATGTGGGAGAGCTAGGAAGAAAAGCAGCTGGCTGAGTGAGGAAGAAGCAAACCTCCAAGAGCTTCTGATCTCAGAGCTTTGTCCATAAGGAGCTCAAGCAGAAGAGCCGGGTTTTCGGGCACAGATCCCTGAGAATATGAAATTTCTTTAAAAACTTGGATGCAAAAATGCGATGGATGCTCCCTTCTTCGGTGACGCTTGCCGTGGGGGACAGTGTGTTGTGTGTGACGGGGTGTTGGGCGATCCTTGTGGCTTAGTCCTCCTTCAGATGCTCCTGATAACCCCTGGCATGGAACCCGCCCTTTACACACCACCCTGGCTGGCTGTCAGTTTTCTTCCCCAGCAGAGCTCTTCCTGTTCTCTCTTGATTGCAATCCTGAGAAATCATATGACTTGTTCATTCAAACACCAACATCACAGATGCCATGCACTGCAAAATCTTTTTAAGATAGCACTCCAGTAGAAGGGAAAATAGTATAGTATAAAGAGCATGCAAGGCTTGGGGTCGGATAGGTTTGGGTTAAAATCCTTGCTCTTTTTCTGACCTCATGATTCCCTCACCTCCCAGTGTGAAAAATCTTCCTCTCTTCTGAATGCTTTTAACCACTATTGTCTTCCATATTGATTAGACATCTCTTCTTTTGAGCTGAATTATGTCAGTCTTATATTTGCCTTCACACAATTTTGTTTTTTTTCCTTTATTAGGATTAGGTTTTACATATATGTGTGTATGTGTGTACATATATGATCTATGTTTTAGATCTATCAGGATATATAGCTATATCAATCAGTATTCTCAACAAAATAAAGATGTACTTCTTTCTCATATAGAGAAGTCATGGGAAGTAGTCCAGGACTGATACGGTTGTGCCAGGGACACCAGGGGCCTAGGCTCCTTCTACCTTTCAACTCCACTAGCTTTAGTGTGGGGCTTCCATTCTCATTCACCTCCTGGCCCAAGACTGCTGCTGGAGTTCTAGACATTGCTTCTTCATTCCAATTAAGAAGAAAAAAGGAGGCCTGGCACGGTGGCTCACTCTTGTAATCCCAGCACTTTGGGAGGCCAAGGCAGGTGGATCACGAGGTCAAGAGATTGAGACCATCCTGGCCAACATGGTGAGACCCCATCTCTATTAAAAATACTAAAATTAACTGGGCATGGTGGTCCATGCCTGTAGTCCCAGCTACTGGGGAGGCTGAGGCAGGAGAATTGCTTGAACCTGGGAGGCAGAGGTTGCAGCAAGCCGAGATCACGCCACTGCACTCCAACCTGGCGACAGAGCAAGACTCTCAAAAAAAAAAAAAAAAAAAAAAGAAATGAAAAGAAAAAAGGAGGATGGTAAAAGGATGTTCCATCCATCTGATCAGGCCCCTTTAGAGAATATTTATAGAAGCCCCACCAAATGACTTGTACTTACTAATTGTAGATTTAAGAGAAGCAGGGAAATATATATCCTTTTCAACAAAGTATATTGCCACCTGGAATAAAATCAGGTCCTATCAGTGAGAATGAAAGAGAAAATGGATGTTAGTTAGGCACGTAGCCATGCCTTGAACTCTACTGTCCACCCATTTCCTTCCTCGCCTGTCTGGTACCTTATATTTTTCCCAAGCATTCTCTTTTGGCTTCTATTATCTCTTTCGCTTTTGACCACATACATTTGTGTTACGAATGTCTCTTAGGCATCCCTTGCTTGTAGATGCTAGGTAAGATTTGTCCTTAAGTCCAGTCTCTCTCTCATCTGCAAAATGCATGACCTCAGGTTTCTTGCTGTCTGTGTTTTGAAGGCATGAAGGGACCTGCTTTCATCTCCCATCCCTGTTTCTACCTGCACCTTTTCTCAGTCATATTCCCCATGCCCAGATTGCCCCTGTTGATGCCACCTCCAATGAAACATTGTGTGGCTGGTGTTCTAGTTCATCAGCCCACCTTTAACCTCAGTCATCATTTGGGCATTTGTACCCCCCTTCGAAACTGCTTTCTCTATCTCTCATCACCTATCTCTGGTTCTCTGACCCATAAAGAAAAGCATGTTCTTATTTTAAAGAGCAGGCAGAGTGCCCAAGCTCCTGCTGGTAAAGTTCTCTTGCTTTAACCAGCCAGCCCTCTTGGTTCTAGGGCACTCAGCCACTCCCGTGTGCTGAGTCAGGGTAGGTTCAAGTGTAGCCATTTGATACTCAGAGCAATTGCAACATGGCTCCCCTCAGGCCTGTTTCTGAATGTTCTCATGTATTCTGATACCTTCCCTATTTATGGGATATCCTCCCTCTTCCAAAGGGGTCCTATTTCTTCATCAGGTACTCAATGAAAATCCAAATTAGGAGAAAGTTCAAGTTCTTCTCTTGAGCAGCTCTATACCAGGGACATAGGAAGAGAGGGTCTACAATCTGTCCTCTCATGCTAGAGTATATCACATGATGCTCTAACCAAGGCAAAGATGGAGCTAATTGTAGACCCAAATTGGAGAACCAAAATAAAACAACAACCAAACACCTTTATTCATCATCCTAAAGCCCCAACTAACCTCTCATTCTTTTTCTTTCCCAAAGTTCTCAATAAATACCTGACACAGAATACCTCAACTTCTTCAGTGCCTTCTCTTTGATCTCCTCTTTGATCTTCTTCTATGGTATCATCCAGTCGAGACTGAATGTTGTAATATTTGCCCTAACTTCTATGATATCATTTGGACAAAGAATACTGGTGGGTGCTTTTTTTTTTAAGGTGTTGAAAACCACTAATAAAAAGAACTAGGATATCAGATTGGAAAAGTGGGCTGGAAATATCATGACAGAAGGCCCTGAGTGCCAGCTAAGCAGCTATGGAAGATTACTGCAGGCCGTAAGCTCGAGGACCCAGCTTTGTCCACCGATGCACATTAGCCTGTGCCCTCGGACAAGTGATGCAACTGCCCATTCTCAATTTCCAGTCAAATAAAGATCATAAGAAGTAAAACAAGTTACTTAAGTCCAGTGACTCTTCTTCAATTCTTACTCTCTTTGCTTTCTAGCTGTCCCAGCCTTCTCAAGCTATTGTGGTTCTCCTCATCCTTGTTTACTCTTCTTCAACTCTTCACCAGCACTTAGGCCTCTGCACCTCTCTCCACTGCATCAGTGATCCCACTTCCCATCTCCTGTCCCATCTACATGAGGACTTCCTGAGCTGTGC